ATTGATGGTGTCCTCATAGGTCCACAAACATCAGAATGCACAATCTCTAACAATTTGGTTGCACATTGTCATATGCCGTGATTTGCTATCTGGGAATACACTGGGTATCTAGCTGTAGAGAGTGTACCTTAAAACTTTATATGATTCTTTTCTTGGCTTTCAAAACTCCTTTATTTTTGTATAAAACTCCAAATATAACAAAATCCCTTCAAAACATATTTTTCCAGCAAAGGATTTTCTCGCCTGGAACTTTAAAAAATCATAACTATTGATCTAACCGTTCAGTTTGTTTCAAATTTATAAGACAGGTAGAATTTATCCTTAACTTTTTCCACAAAAAAAAACCAACCGCAAATTCACTCCCGATCTTCTGGCATCTAAGAAACCCTAGCAGACACTCCAAACCCTAATTTACAAAACTATTTTCCATATTTCTCAAAAACCCAAACTCCAAATATCATAAAACTTATGCACAAAGTTTACTAACATGAAATTACACATTTCTTGAAATTTTGAGCCAAAATCTCACAAAATTGCTCAAGATATAGCTCAAGGGACAAACAGTAGTAAATCGGTTTACTTACTATCCTTAGATTGCATGTGCTGACTTCAAAATCCAATAACTCCTTCACTCCAACTTGGAATCCAATAAGCAGTATGCAAAAAGTATAGCCGCAAAAGTTTTCTCTCTAGTCGCGGTCGCCGATCCTCAATTGCCATCCGTACGCGTGCGTTATGCCCAAAAGAGTGACAGTAGGTCCAAAACTAACACCTTAACTTTGAGCGCCTATAACTTCTTCATAAAAACCCCAAATGACACAAAACTCGCACCAAAACCTTAATCAAAAACCTAAACCTTCTGACCTTAGCCTTCAAAGTTCGAATGGCCTCGAGAAACTAACCCTAATCCCTAATATGGCCTCGGGCAGCCTCCTCAAAGCCCATTGGTCATGATTTTTGACCAATAGGAATGGAAATTTTTATTTTTCATCTCCATTCATCTATATTGGTGCCCTAATTCCTCTCTTTGCTACCAAAATCCTTCTTCAATCCTTTTTCTTATAAGATTTACATAATGTATGCTCTAAACACCAAATAAAAGAACCAAAATAAAATTTTAAATGTCACCAATGTCTAACAAAGGTGACTCTAAATATTTAGAAGTTACTATCAACCAAAACCAATCTTAAAAACCACTATCAAAAGAAGATTAAAGTTATACAAATTCTATAGTAATCTTTTTAAACAACCTCTTTTCAAAGTAATAATCAAATTATATTCTACAACCAACTAAAATCTACTAACATGGCTCTTACCATGTTACTTAATAAATTATATATTAAGTACATAATTACATTATTTTCATCTAGTAGCCGAACCACAACAGGACAACGTGTTGCAACTCCACTTGGAAATGAAGCTCTTTGTTGTTTGCCTTGAATACAACCTTCACAAGTAAGATTTGTGCATGATTGACCAAGATCTAAGCCACTAACCATGGATTGGAGCTCCTTCATACTTTTGGCATTCAAATGACCAAGGCGTCGATGCCAAATGTCAAACTTGTCTTGATCTTGTGAAAATTCAGCAAATGCCGCCACTTCAACTCCATTCACCTTCTTACAATTGATGAAGTAGAGATTGCAATCTCTAAAGCCTTTCAAAAGATTATCTCCATCCATTGTCTTCAAAAAGCATCCATTCATATCAACTTGCACCTTACAACCATGAGAAACAAGTTTACTCACCGAAAGAAGGTTCTTCTTCATTTTTGGCACATGTAACACTTCTTTCAATCTGATCTTCTTCATTTGATTCTTCACAATAATCTCCACCACAATAGAGCCAATTCCAATGGCTTGCACCATGCCATTTTTTTTAACCATACTTTTGTTGTTGGAATAGTCTCATAAGTGTCAAATGAACACTTGTATGGAGTCATGTGCTTGGTAGCACCCGAATCAATGATCCATTTGGACATGGCAGCCATAGACGTGCCTTCACTTGCCATGAATGCATAATCATCTCCACCAACTTCATCACATGCATTGTTAGCATTTTTTCTATCTCCTTTCTTGGCCTTGTAGCAATTTCGTGCAAAATGACCCGATTTTCCACAATTGAAGCAAGTTCTTGCATTGCTTCTCACATTGTCACGTTGGTTGGAATAGGTACCTTTGCCTTGTCTTGAGAAGAGAGCTGAATCTTCACTTTGATGCTCCTTCTCTTTCCTTTTAATTATTTCATGTGCAAGTCTTGATATCACATAGTCCATTGTAAGCTCCTTCAACCTCAAAGACTCCAATGCCACAATGAGGTAGTTGTAGGACTCGGGAAGACTCATGAGTAGAGTCATGACAATGTCACCATCCTCTAAAGACTTGTCAACAATTGCTAGTTGATTTGCAAGGGCCTTTACCTTATTAACATGTGCCATGAGGTCTTCACCTTCTTCCATCTTAGAAGTGAAGAATTTCCTTCTTGTGAAGAGGATGTTGGATAAGTTCTTGCTCTCATATATGTTGCAAAGTGTCTTTCATGCTTCCGCTGGTCCTTTGCAATGGATAATGTGAGAAAAGTTGGCTTCATCCAAATTAGTGGCAATCATGCCAAAAGCCTTCTTTTCACGTCTTTTGAAGTCCTTGTGGTCCTTAGGGCTTGCATCTATGCTTGGAGGGTCTTCACTCTCATCTACAATATTCCAAAGGTCCAAAGATGCCAACAAAAGCTCCATTTTGACCTTCCAATGGTAGAAATTGTTGCCTCTAAACTTCTCAATCACTCTCAAACCTTCACCCTCACTAGAAGCCATGTCTAAGGAGGATTGTATCAAAAAATATTGAGAAAATGAGTCTCTAAAAGCTTAAAATCACCAAACGAAGTTTGCACTGGCAGAATCTCAGAATGCCCTGTTATGAACAAAAGAGTAGTATTTTTTCACTGAAAACACTTTCAACTCAACTTGTGAAGCTTTCTACAAATAATTGCACCCTCATGGAACTCACAATCACTCGTCTTAATCACTTTCTCATCAAAACACTCAAGAATAATGAAGAAATTTCACCAACTCAAAAGACACTATCAAGGTCTTTCTACAAAGTCTTAACCTCACAAAGCAAGGATATAAGAACCCACAAAGCAATGTTAGAGATGTACAAGCTTAATACCAATAGCCTCCTTATACCAACAAACCTAACATCAACAAATACCATAAGATCTAATCCACACAAAAGCAACAAAGAGAAAACGACTTCAACTTACTTGAATAACACAACAAAGAGTGTGTGGGCCCATAACCTATTGAGAAAAGAACACTGTAAGCATAACACAAGTAAGTAGAAATCAGCAAGGTTGCACATAAGAGAAGTGTAGAATGAGATGGTTCTCTCTTCCAACTCTCGTTACTTATAGATAGTGGTTGCTGCCCTAAAAGGACTTCTTCCACCATTTGACTTTTACACATATGCTCCTTGGATCCTTTGGCTCATACCATGAGGATATCCAAGGATCCTAGGATTCTATGACATCTTACATACCACGAGGGTATCCTATGCCATATACTAATTACTTTTACCTAGTTCTTTGGATATTCCCTAGGACACACTTTATCCTCTTGACTTTGACTCTTTGTCCTTGACCGCATCCTATGTCCATAGGATGCTTTTTCTATATGCCAAGAGTCAAGCCTTTGACCATTAGCAACTTACCTAAGGTAATATCCTTTATGAGGTAACTTATTCTACTTTAACTATTATCTATTCATCTTTATCTTTTACCTCAACATAGTTGATACAGAAACAAATATATGGTTTTTTTGTTATATAGTACTAAAAAGGCATACCATCTTATTTGAATAGATTTTCTTTATTGATGTACATAGATTCCATCAATTCTTTGTAATCAAATATATCTATGTTGATTGAAGACAAAAAGTTAAAATATATTTTTTTAAAATTGAATTACCTGAATTCAATTGAAGTTGGACAAAATATAACTTTGTTTTACAAAAGTTTTGTATAAAAGAAAAGCATGTATATATCAATTTAATCACAAGTTTATTTTTAATGTTCAAAAAATCATATAAATTTATATAAAAATTAATTAGGATATGTTTAAAAATTAAGTTGCATCAATTTTGTACCTATTTCTTATGTATTTCAATAAATCAGGTATCAAGCTTTAAGCTCTAAATTTTGTTATCTTATAACCGATATTGTTTTCACAATTTTTATGTATAGATATGCTCTTATCGAGGGCCATTAGTATTTGTGCTATCATTTTTGAAAACTAAAATTTAACAATCAGATTTTAATTTCACAATTCAAAATACAATTACTTTCAATTTAAACTTTTTCATGACAATGATGCTGTCAATTGTCTATAAAATAATAAAAAAAAATAGAGTCGATGAATTCTGGACTACCATAGTTTTAAATAAACATCTGTTAGAAGAAATATGACACATTTACATATGAATGGCCGTTGATGGCAACAAGAAATCATGTTATTCTATACTCAAAGCTAAGTTTTACAAAATCTTTTAAAAAAATTAAAAAAAAGGAAAAAAAAAAAAAATTATGCCCATAAATATATACAACCGATTTTTTTTTTGTAAAACAAATCATAATATCTTCTAAGATTTAATTCTTATTGAGGAGTCTTCTTGCATACTAACGTGCAAATAAAAAAAAGAAAAAAAAGAAGAAGAGGAAGTTAAAATCACATTTTCAAAGAAGTTCCATATTTATTTATTTTAATTAATTCATTAAAATTTTTAGGTGTATACAAAACATAAAAAAAAAATATATATATATATATATATATATTATAAATATTCTTTTGAGGTACTTGTTTAATGTCAACACATCGTAAATCAAGCCTTTGGTTGATTTTATCACATGTACGTATGAAGAAGAAAGGCGAAAGGTAGAAGAAAAGGGAGGGAAACGAAAGTGGAGTCCGACTTTTGACCTTTTCAAACAAGAGCGACGAGGCGCTCGCAACGAGCAACCGCACTTGCGCGACAGAGCAGACGGAGACGAAGCCTAGCCTATTTGTCGTCGAGCTCTCCGCCAGGATCCACGAGACTGTTGTTGTTTCTTAGTGTAGTCTGAGGAGTATTGTGACTTCGTGCGTTCGGATTCGATGTTTTGAATCGCCGACACGGATACCGAAGTTTGCAGAACAGACGGCATTCGAAACAGTGCGGAGAGCAGGGAGCTCTGGAAAATTAGGGTTGCAGGTGTTGTAGTAGTTCAGAGAAGGGGATGAGCAAAGGGAGCATGTAGAAAGAGCTGACGGGCCTCATGGTAGCGTGGTGGTGCTTGTGCTGTGTGTGTGGTATGTGTGGTGGAAAGCGAGGGCTGTGGAGCTGATGCATTTTCAGGGGAGGTTGTGAGACTGGCATGAATCTTAATGGTGTGTGGAATGCGGTGGTGTTGGAAGTCAGTGTGGAGATCAAGGAACACGTCGAAAGAAGAGGTTAGGCTTTTAGGTGGCTGAGTAATGGCACAGGGGACATCGCTGCTGGCAGCGTGCGGTGGCGAAACAGTAAAGTTGTTTGACGTGTCTATTGAGACAGGGGACCCCTGCACGTTCCAGTATACTCCTTCCCCGGGTTATCAAGTTAATTGCGCGCGATGGAATCATACCAGTAAGTTTGATACAGCTACAGCTCTAGGCGTGTCAAAGGATCTTAGTTTGCGCGTGAATCAAGTAGTTCAAGTTCGTGTGCAGATTGGCAATTCGCTTTTCGGATGAATCAAGGGACTGATGAGTTTAATTTTAGACTTGAAGAACTTGCCACAGAAATGAGGCCGTCGCGGCAGTTAGGTTCCTCCTGTGTCTACAAGCTTGTTGTTTGGAGCTTGCAAGAATACTGATGCATTTGCTATGTCGTGATAGAGCTCTTTCTCACTTTACTCAGAGTTAGTTCTGTGGTAAAATTCTGTGTGTATGCAAGAAGGGTTTAAGCTATTGAGTAAGTATTGCCCTGCAATGCGATTCTTGGCATACCCCTCTCTCTCTCCCCCCCTCCCTCAATATATATATATATATATATATATATATTATAACGTAGAGCTGAGGGTACGCTGTACTTTGTAGTTTCAGGAACAAGCTAGGTCGCATAGATTCGTCGTGCACTTAAGTTGAAATGACTCTTGCTCAATGTGTTAGGGTCTTTAGTGTCAGTTAGCTCAGCACATTGCCAGAAATAGTGTGCGATACTCCGAAGAAAATTGGAAATTCGTAAAGTGTGGATATACTTGGATTAGAATTCGAAGGTCACTGATACTGGAGTTTATTCTTTTGGTGGAAATCAAATATGTTTATTTGTCTTATGGCCTGTTTGTTTTATTATGCTATGTCGAGCTTAGGCTTCTTCCATTATCGTGACACTGAGCATGGAACAATGCACAAGAAGTAGGGACTTACTCAAATTTTCCTCAAGTTGCAGTTTAATTCCCGTTCCATGTGAAGCTTGAACTCATTTGTTCAAACGCATTGCATGACGTTAGACTCGCCCCGTATACTAATCATATCATGAATTGCTCGCCAAAAAAGTGGATTATCTAGACGGTAGATTTGAACGATAACATGACACTGATATGCCAAAGGACACATTGATTCATCATGGAAGTAGAGCTCTAAGTATCTGTTCTGCAGATTTGGTGGTTGCAAGTGCTGGAGAAGACTGCAAGATCTCGCTATGGATGAAGAATGGTCAATCACTAGGTGTTTTGCCACAACCTGGGGGAGAACCTGATGTCAATATTGATGTAAGCACTTAAGTCATTGTTCCCTCCTGTTCTGTTTCCACGGGATGTGAACAGAGGCATTGACATTTGATATCTCTGTGGTCTTTGAGACTCCGTGAGAGTTTCCTTGTGGCATAGAGTGAATTGACTGGGAGAGGCCATCTTGAGAGTTAATTGCTCTTGTTCATGTTGCAGGAGTCTATATTGGGAATATGTTTCAGCAGTAAAGGTTCCCGGTACCTTGGCTCTGGTGGAACTGGAAAGGTTGTCCGTGTATGGGATCTACAAAGGAGGAGATGTATTAAGTGGTTGAAAGGCCATACCGATACCATCACTGGTGTCATGTACAACTGTAGGGATGAACACTTGGCTTCTATTAGCATGAAAGGTGATTTGATCATCCACAGCCTTGCATCAGGAACCAGGGCAGCTGAGCTCAAAGACCCTCACAATCAGGTATGAACGACTTCTAGTTACCTCTACTTTGTGTCTTTGTGTATGATTTGAGGGTCCATCCTAATGACATTATGTCACTTTCAATGGAGCAGGTTCTCAGAGTTATGGAGTACTCCCGATTGAGTAGGCATCTTCTGCTGACTGCCGGTGATGATGGAACTGTCCATTTATGGGATACCACTTCACGTAGTCCCAAGGCAGGTCAATTTCTGTTTATTTCTCTTTACCCCTTCATTCGAAGTTGAGGTTTAAGAACTTTTTGTGGGCATTGGAGCTATTGCATCAAACCTAGAATGAAAAGCATTTTTGTTCTAGGAACTTTTTTCCTCATTCGTGAGTTCGAATTTATGTTGTACTGAGCATGTCAAGGTCAATTTTTCAACATTGATTTGTTGTCGCTGCAGTTATCTTGGCTTAAGCAGCATTCAGCACCTACCACAGGGCTTTGCTTCTCACCGACGTCTGACAAGGTCTGATTTTGTAACTCCTGTGTGCTACTGTAGGTATCCAGTATGAGTTAAAAGTTTGGTTGTGATGTAAATACAGACTTTGTTTTCGCTTCATTCGTGGTCGATTTGAACTTGTTATCAGAAGTTAGGTAATATAAAATGCTCATGGGCAATATTTTCTAATATTTTATGTATCATGCGTTGTCAGATGATTGTAAGTGCTGGGCTGGACAAGAAGTTGTATATATATGATCCTGGTGTAAGGAAGCCTGTTTATTGTGTACCATATGAGGCTCCCTTTGCATCACTGGCTTTTAGGGATGATGGCAACACCCTCGCAGCGGGTACCAATAGTGGCCGGGTTGTTTTTTATGATGTGCGTGGTCGACCCCAGCCCTTCACAATCCTGCGAGCTTACAGTGCTTCTGAGGTGAGGAGATGTCATCCTCATTCTAACTCGAACTAACATAAAGCTGGCTTAATTCTTGGGAAGAGGTTTGGGTGCTTGTCTCAAGATGTAGCTAAGCTTTTCTTCGAGACCCGCGGAGGGCAGAGAGGACATTTGCATCATGAGCGTGCACATTGTCTTCTCTACTTCACGGAATGATTTTTTCATTATTTTACGATACTCATCGCACACGAATTAATAATATCATTATTTCCCTCTTTCATCTCTCAGTTCTTACTGTTTTCTTTCGAAGATTTTAGCCTGCAGCTACCCAATTATTTATTTATTTATTTATTTCTTTTTAAAATTTCTCTATTATTTTTGTGCTTAGTAATTGTGTACCTTAAATCTTTCATATGTGCAGGCTGTAATAAGCTTGAGTTGGCAGCGGTCTAATCCAACAACGGTCAAAGATACAAGACCCGGAGAGTTTGCTCTTTTAGGTACTAGCAATGAAGAATCAGTGATAATGCCAGATCCTCTTCCTGCTGGCACTAGAGGGCGGGTAACAACAGCTGCCCCACCCACTAAAACTAGCAACCGTACAAGTCCATTTTCGAACCAGGAACCTCCTATTACTGGTGGGTCCTCAGGGCCTCCAAGGCCAAAGTCAGCGGGAGGAGACGTCACACCTTACTCTTCCTTGCGTACTTTAGGACAAGGTCCAATCTCTAGACTTCAAACCCCTCGGGCGAATCCATTCAACTCTGGAAAGGATGACATGGAGGTTTTTTCGCCTCTTGTTGACGTACAACCCATTACACCATCAGTTGCAGGTTATTGGGATGGAGACGTTGCTGGAGACGAGTTCAATAGGGAAACATCAGCTCTCGGGGGTGACAGTAGGAGAACAAGTTGGGGAACTCCCTCAGTTCGTCAGTTTCCTAGTATGGAGAATGTGAAAGAGGATGTACGGGAGTCACGAGATTCAAATGTTTCACGCAGGTCTTCGATAGGAACTCGACAAGTGAGTCCTATTGTCGTCGAATCTGTCTAGCGTTTTCCACCGGAACTGCCAGCATGGCTGATACCCAAGTTAATTTTTGAAATTTTGATGAGTATGTTGGTTTTATGTCTCTTCTGTCTTCTAGAATGTTTTCTTCCAATTTGAATCGTTTTTTTGGTGAATGTTTGGTGCTTGAGATAGTTTTGTAAATCAAATCAACAACATGTTTTCCTTTCATTGCATTGCGCGTGTCTTTTTTTATGGTACATTGTTAGTAGCTAATAATTGTTTGCATAAAGTTTTGTTTTGTTATTTGATTTTCAATTTTCAATTTTATGCAGGTGGGTACCTTTTTGGTATATTAATTTTGTGACTGAATGACAGGAAGATTTACATGGAAGATCGTCGTTTGGGTCTCCTGTAGTAGTGACTTCTCCAGGAATATCCTCTAAGTCGGATCGATCTCCTTCTATAACACCTCCTGAAGCGTGGGGTGGCGAGGCTTTGGAAAGAGGTGGCTCAAGGCAGCCCACTATGTCCAGGTTAGACATTACAATTCCCTTCTGGTGAACAGCATGCTTGTATAAGCTTCTTCAGGGTTCGTGTTTTAGGATGTTGTGAACTTGATTTTTATAGGTGGTCAATGATGTGGTTCCTTTCTCTCTGCAATGTGCTAATACTTGCGTTGGATTCTTGTTATCAATTTAATGTATCACTTGCTGGTCCTCGTGTGGTATCTCTTCGCGGGTGTTCGTTTGCGTCTCTGTCTATACGAATTCCTTATTTTCCTGAAAGTTGTGTTATGCCGAATTGGGTGGTTGACAAAAGATTATGTGATGTGTTGGTTGTGCTTGTTGCAGATTTGCTTCCACAACAGGTCTTCCGTCCTCTCGATTTGATTCACTGGCTGCTTCTGCAGATAAAAAGCACTCGTCTTCTACCAAGGGTGATATCTCATCGCTTAGATCTTTAGATCCAAATCCATCTTCCCCTTTAACAAATGGTGTGAACCATACGCCAGCAAGTGATTTTGAAGCAGCAACCATAGCTGCAAACAGAAAACTGTTGTCTTATGAGGCACGGGACCTTAACTCAAACTTTACTCGATCTCTTCCTGGATCACTTCCTGGGTCGGCTGAGGATGCAGGATCACCAGGGAAGCATAGAAAGTCAGCGTTGGATAGAGGAGAAGAAAAGGGTGGGGTTCCTGGAAGTTCTGATGGAAAAAAAGACATTGGGAATATTTATACGTTAAGACCGGATGCTGCCGCTGCCATAGTGGCAACTCCACCTTCATTAAACGTATATTTTTTTTCTAGCTCAGTTGTATCGCAGTGCAATTCAATTCAGTTCAATTTTCTTTTTAAAGTTTACTTTGCGTTGAAGTAAAGTTTTTTAAAAAAATTGATTTGTTAATGAAAATTTAACTAATGTGAAGTTGCTAATTCGTATGCTCGGTACAATGTTTTATGCCTTTGGCAGGGCCTTGCTCAAGGGAGCGTGCAAAGAGCTCAAATACTACTCGAACAGCAGCAACAGCAGCAAGGGGTGGGAACTACTGGTTTCGCCCTGCAACTGGTGCAAAGGGGTCTAGAAGAGAGTCTTGGTGCCGTCCAACGATCTATTCACGAAGAGGTTCAAAATTTGCATTTGGAACTTCTTCGACAGTTCCATATCCAGCAGGTAATGTGTGAGGTATAGCCAGTCCAATGAATTGTTTTCACCTTTTTAAATAGTGTCAATCGAAATTAAATGCTTCTCTTGCCTTACTTCAGTGACATCGCTCTCCGTATAAATTCTTATGCTAGTCTCGTCTGGACAAGGGGTGTTCTACTGATCCGTTGAGACAAAATATTTTGTTCTTGTAGATGGAAATGGGTAGCATGATGGATACATTTCAAGCAAAGCAAGCAGAGCTAGCGGAAGAGATCAAGGCTCTCCGTAGAGAAAATCAACAACTGCGAGATCTTTATTAACGGTAGATTACATGGCACAACTTAACTATTAACAACTAGCGAGCTTTGAGGTTTGGGAATCTTTAGGGTTGTTTCAAACCTCGTGTAACCTTCACGGTATGAATGTATAGAAGAGGCGTTGCCATTGTATACATTATGTTAGCGTAATTTTCCCAACAGAAATGCGATTAGTTGGTTGAATTGGATGTATACAAATTGTCTAGATCACAACAAGATTTTGAGATTAGAGAGTGGGAACTCCCGTGTAGAGACTGAGTTGATGGAGAAACTAATGAATGTGAGATTGTGAAGATGTTTTGGTTTATTAATGTTTTTATGTGAATTGCTTACATTAGTTTTGCAGAGAAGTTATGTGTATTATGAAAATTGCTCACGTCTATGAAATGATTGATATGGGAGTAATTGTTTGTTGAGAGAAAATTGCACGCAAGAAAAGTTCGATTGGTTCTATGGCCATTTGACAGTATTATATATGTTTTACTTAACTGAGTTATGGTTATCTACAGTTAAGAAATAGGTGCATGTAGATATTTAAATAAGAATTGCATTTAGTACATTTGTAACTCTAAATTCCCAGAACATGCACAACAGTCTTACAATTGATATGGTGGATAGAATATTCAACAAATTTAGAACTTTATTATAATAGCGTAATGTACTGTAGTGCCAAACTAGTGTTCATGCTTGTATGTACAGAATGGAGCAGATTTCACCACAAATTGAAGCGCTGCAAAAATGGGGAAGACATCGCACAATTCGGTAGCCACGAGTGGAAGTGACGAGACTAGGTAGAGAGCAGCAACCGAGTACAGCATGAGAGGCCCACTACACGGCGGTAGCAGCTGGAGTGCCATACTTGGGATCGTTGACAGCCCTCTGGCCCGGAGCGTTGGCATAGCCTTCCCTGGTAACCCTTCCGGCGTACAGAGCCAGCAAGTAAAGCAGCTCGGTCAAGGAGAGAATGATCATGAAGGCCTCCACAGTTTTCTGTGATTCATACAGAGACCAGAAGAGACATTAGAGAATACTCGCATCAAGTTTCGAGAACGACTTTACAGCTCAGTAAGGATGCTGTGATCTAGGTTTCATTTACCAGTTCTAAATACAGCGAAGAAATGAGGTTATTTGATCAGTCTATTGAATGAAACAGGACTTGACCGGTATGGATAAGGAGTTGTGTGTACCATTCTCTTGCTGCGTCCGTAGCGGGTGTGGATTTGCTTGCAGGCAAGACCCATGGCCAACAGAGTGAGCGTCCACGCGATTACGGCAGTGGCGGCTGCGGCAGCCAAGCTCTCAGTGCGCCAAATGCGAACATGGTGGAGCCCCGCCAACACGGAAGCGAGACCGGCCATGCACGCAATCAAGACGACGGGAATGAAGATGGGCGTCACCACGTTGCCTGCATCAAAAGATCAGTTAGCAAACCCGCCGTTACGGCATTCGCTACTCGTCATGTGAATGGTGAAAGTTAGACTAATTGAAGAAACCTGCTTAGCTTACTGCTCAGACTCGACATCCATCAGATAGTTAGAGAACCTGATCAACTTTCCCTGCTCCGACTATAGCCACCTAATAACTCCATGTACTCACCGATGGGGAAATTGTTGGTGATGCCCTGGTTGGCGTCCAGATTACGGTTCAAGATAGAACCGGCTAGACAAGCAGCAATGAAGTACAGGCAGAAGTTGAGAATCATGAGTGGGAGAACCATCCCCTTGCTGATTCCAAACGCCATGGCTACGAACTTGCAGTTTCCGGAAGCCTCACACGAGTGCTGATACAAAAACCCTTCGGATGCGACGTCGCCTTAAACCTCAGATTCTCAACACCGGCGCATGAACTTATATAACTCTTTGAGAAACACAGTCCAATTTTTTCTGCGATGAAACCGCCTCGTTGCAGGCGAGGTATCAACTCGAAGCTAATCCCTTGCCGCCACCTTAGAGTGGAAAACTGTCATGTGTCACGCCCAAGGAGGTCGCGATCATTACGGCCCAATCCGCTCCAACGATGCATCCCATCTGTCGATCTCGCGAGCTCTCGCTTTCTGCGCGCTACTTTTCGGCTGCCTACACGCTATTTCATCGAATTACTTTGTCCGAGACAGCATGTGGCTGATGACTAGCAATGGATTCACCTGTCATACCCGAGTCCGACCTCTAATTTTGGAATCTTCCTGTTGGGTACGTGTACGATGCCGCTCGCAATCTGGCCCAGGTGGGGTAACTTGGATGAGTGAGAGGCTCAATCTATAAGAGAAGCCAGCTTCGGAGGTCCAGCCATGGCCCCTATTCCAACAATGACAAGTTCTGCCACCAAACACATGTTCACCCACAGCACCTCCTCTAGAACACCGAGCCCCTCATTCCTTCACACAGCAGTGAAGTCGATGCCAGTTGTCCTCGTCGTTTCATGCGTCAAGACATCTACGAAAGACACACGCGATGCGCTGGCAGAAACTGGGTGGAGAAGGAAACCCTGGCAGCTGACCAGCCAGACACAGGGGTGCTGATAAGGATTATCAAGATCAGCCTGCTGATGATTCACAGCTCGTGGGGTCTCAACGGAAGCATCTACAGCAACGTTGTGTGCTACTGCTGATGATGCTTCTCGACGATGCCAGCGAGAGAGAGAGGGGCCCTCCTCTTCCACCTTCAGCTGCTGATGCCGGCTTCGTCCACCGTCTTGAGATTCAGAACTAGGATTGAGCATACATTCCTCGGAGCTGGTTGATTCTCATGATCTTGTGAGCTTTGTTGAGATTGAAATTTGACGAAAAGCAAATCGTGCATGGAGTGGAAGGCTCCAGAAGAATCCAGAAGCACACGGCTGCAGCATTAAATATTGCTTTTTCTCCATAATACGTAGTCTATTTTTTCTTTTATTCTTTTTTTTAAATCCACATTAGCTTGATTGATTTCTATACTTAGATGAGTGAATTTGAAATAAGGTTTTAATTTATTCAACATTAGTATTCTAAGTTTGTTTTGGAAAAAATCAATTTGGAGGTGGTTTTAAAATATTATGGTATTTATATAATATAAATAATAAATATTAACAAAAATAATATTTATAATTAAAAAAACTTGTGAATACAATTTGATCTATTTGTCAAGGACATGAATCTCAAAGAAAAAAAATCTCAATATATTCTTGTATTATTCAAAAAGACTAAAATTACTTGAAGATGATATTATATTAAATTAGAATGGCTATTGCCAAAGATAAGAAGATTAGAAAGTCTTGAAATAAGACTAAGGACTAGAAAGGCATTGATAAGAATGAAGAAAGCTTTACTCTTCCTTCCATATATATCTTTAATTAGAAGTTATGTGGCAATATCATATAAGACCTCCAAAACGTGTGGACTTTATAAGATACTTATCTTAATTTATAAGACAAGCTTTTTATGTGTGTACCATATAGTTAGCTTATTTCACAATTTACCACTATATGATTAACTTATTAATCAAGTTTTTAACCTATCAATCAACTACAAACACATGTAAAATCAAAATAGCATCTATGAAGTTTTTACGAAGCTTCTCAAAAAAATATTATGAAATAAATATATTTTTACATATTTCTACTTAATCATATATATAAATATTAGAATAAATATGTATATCCATGATATTACCTTCCCTTCTAAGGACAAGTTCCATGAGTAGCAGTCATCATATGTTGAGAAAATCTAACATGTAAATTGTGTTTTTTATACACTTAGATCTTTGTTGTCTTTGAAGATGGTTGTTAAGTCTTCTCAACCATTGATAATGTCCCATATTAAGATAAGCAGACCACCCTATTATTTGATTATTATTGAGGCCCTTGTAATTCCCTTCAAATAAAACATTTGGAACATTGTGAGGATTTGTTCCTACCTTAAATAAAATCACCAAATATTGGAAGTCTCTTCTAAGGTCGTGATATTAAAGATGTTATATTTTACTATCTATTTGAGGAAGGACATATCATTCTTGAGGATCTTCATCTCAATTATGTCATCTTAAAGGTTGTAACAATCACAATGTCTTGTCCAATAAGTCAGCAAGTGATAGCTCTTGAGTTGAATTTGTTGGTTTTTAGTTATCCATCTTTTTAGCGTCACAAATATATATAAGTTATAAACAAGAGTAGAAAGTAGAATGCTATCTTTTTTGGATCTTGTTTCTTTTATAGTAAAGATTTTTTATTCTTCATCTTGGTTTTGATAGATGTACTTAATGAAAAGCTTCAATCTTTTTTATTGCATTTGCAAGTTTCTTTGTTGACTCCCATGTCCATTCATTCATATTATATTTTTGCCAATAAATAAGATATTTTAATCTATTTTGGCGTTGCCTTGAATCTAAGTCTTTTTTCATTTTAAATTCTTGATTATTATCTACTTTTATAAGAAGAAGCGATATTTGTCTTCTTCTCAAGATATTCATTGTCTTATATGACTCAATAAGAGACATATGAAATATATGATGGATCTTTATAGACTCAAGTAGATGTAATTAATAAAGAATAAGATTGAATTATTCACAAATATGAAAAGGTCTAAGCTTACAATAGTCCAACTTGTTACAATGACAAATAGTCTTAATATTATGACAAAGTAGTCATACCTTGTCACTTATGGTGAATTGTGGTTATTCTTTGCAATATGCACCTATATTGATCATTTATTGTTCTTGAGTTTCTTTTAAGTGCACCTCCATTGTTCAATTTAGCTCTAACAAACGATTTATCAAATCTTCTACTGTTGCATTATCAACTTTTAAAAAGTCAAAAGTATTAAGTTATGGATGATAACTATAATTGAAAAAAAAAATGTTTATTGAATAGAAGAATATACCAAATTATTATATGCAAAATTTTCCACTACCAAAATAATTTTTCAATCGACTTAATAACAGTTAATGGTATATCTCAAATATTGGTCCATAACTTGATTCATCTATTTTGTTTGCTATTATTTTAAGGATGAAAAGCCAAAGAAAGCTTTATATCCATCTTTAGAATTTTGAAAAGGATTTTCTAAAATTTGAATATAAATTGAGTCCTCTTATTCGATATAATATCTTAAAATAATCTATAATAGCAATAGATGTTGTCAAAAAAAAAAAAAAAAAAAAAACTGAGTTGTTTCTTTACTTGTGATACATTTTGTATATGGTACAAAATGTGCCATCTTAATAAAACGATCTATTATTATTAACATAGAATCATAGAAACTTGAGACTAGAAGATCTATAATAAAATCCATAGAAAGAAAAGACCATGGTTGTTTTGGAATAGGTAATGGTTGGAGAAGTCCATAAGGCCAATAATGAGGAATTTTTGAGCTTGAACAAATATCACATGATTGTATAAAGTCTTTAACTGCCTTCTATATTTGAAGCCACCAAAAATCTCTTGATATTAGCTCCAAAGTATTATTGTATCCAAAATATCCGACTGCTAGAAAGTCATGATAAGCTTAAAGAACATGTAATTGTGCTTTACTTTTTAGAATATTTAATCATCCTGCAGAATAGAATAGATTATTCTTAAACTTGAATCTAGAAGTATCTAAAAAATTAAAAGTATTATTCTTTATATTATAAATAAAAGATCAATGGACATACTTTATTAAATTTGCTTGATGAAAGTTGAATCAATAGTCAATGTTAATTTTATTGTTTAAAGATGAAAATGCTCTAGCTTCAAGATGATTATTCTTTGTTGATCAAAAGCTATGTCTTTTTCTTTTGGTGTAAAATAAAAATGTCTAAAAAAGGTGTGTGACAAACCTTGTTGTTTTTTAATGTCGGTGTAGAAAGAATTTGCCTTAAAAAAGTGCTAAGCTTTTAGCTGTTACTAATTGTTCAACCAAGTCTCAAGATAAAATAAAAAATACTAAGTCTATATCTAAAAAAATTCCTATAAAAAGAATTATATCAATACATAAGCCCAAAGTACCAAAGCTCATCCAAAATGTGATAAAAATATTCTAAAACCTTATATATCCTTAAGATAAAATCTTTTCAAATTTCAACAATTTGTATCTCATAGTTAGATTGTCCAAACAAACTAAAATTTCATATAAAGTACTGATTTACTTTCAAAAAATATTACAACAAATTTCAAGTACAAATTCATTATGGATCTTAAACTACTATAAAAATCCTAACAATAGTTTCAAATCCTTACTTACATACATCTATGTGCAATTTTCTTCATATCACACAAATGAAGTATTCAAATACCATAAAATTTTGATATATAGCTTTTTAACCTAATAACATATGTTTTTGGAAAATTTGAGCAAAAATTTGTTCAAAAATTCAAGATATGGCTCCAACCATTACTATCAAAAAAATAGCTCACTTATTATCTTGGAATTACATATACTATCTTCAATGCTCTATGACTCCTTTATATAGATTCCAAATGTAAAAATATTTTTGTTAAAAATATTGGTCTTGAAATCACCTTTGCAATTGTTTCTCTTGATTTCCAAAACCTACTGCAAAACTCCTTGTATTTTCAAAAGAATAATAGTATGTCTTAAAAAGACACCTTAACTTCAAATAGTTATAACTTCATCATTCTGATTCCAAATCCTCTAAAATTTGTGTACTAATTGTAATCCAAAACTTAAACCTTATAATCTTTGCTTTTGGTTCTTAAATGCATCTTTTGAAGTTGCCAAAATCCTTGTTATGGTCACAAATAGCTTCTTGAGAGCCTATTAGGTATGGCTTTTGACCAATAGGAATGATCTTCACCTCTTGCCTTCATGCATCCATACCTTGCTTTCATTCTTCCAAATAAGTTTTTTAAGGTTTAAATCTTTATTTTTAAATTCCAATCTTTTCTTTAAATTTTATACTAAATATCTAAATCTTATATAATTTAAATACTATAATCAAAATAGATAAATCTCAAAATAAATTTTCTTACATAAACTCTCTTTAAATTAACCTACTAATTATTTTAATATATTATTAATAATTATAGTATAATATTGGATTGATAAGTAATCTTGAAATAAAATCTTGATAAAGATATATTCTAAGGGGCTTGGTGAGAATTTAAAATATGTATTGACATAAAGTGCTCTAGATTCTTGTGATTTTTATATACAGTGATTGGACTAGAAGTACCTTCTAGATAATGATGCCATTTTTGAAATGAATCTATGATTACAAGAAGCTCTTTGTCATAGATCTCATAGTTAATCTTAGTTGTTGAAAATTTCATAGAATAAAAGCTATTAGGTGGACCTTGTCATCTATTCTCATTTGTGACCAAATCACATCTATAGCAAAGTCTGATGCATCTATTTTTATAAGAAATGCCTTTGAAAAATTGACTCAATACAAGATTGGTGCAAAAATAAAT